ATATGGCCTGTCTTGTCGCATTGTGAACAAGCATCAGATGCACGGTAACATACACCCTATGTTTCTTTCAATATTCAGAACAAACTGGTATAAACCCACTGCTCTAACTTGAGCTACCTGTAGACCTCGTGTTTTGCTTTTTGTTTACAAAAGAACGGCTCTTTCTGAAACCATACCTAGACCTTTTTCCCTTTCATTCTGTTGTTAGCACTTTAGCTTGTTTCTTTGCTACCATATTAGTTTCTGCCATCAATGTTCTATCAAGTACATCCACATATGTAGGTAGCTTTAGGACACCTACCCGATCAAATACATCCAAATCCAATCCACCCTCAAATTTCTATTTTCCTTGTATTCCGTATCCACCATATGAGGAGCAAATCAAGCTAGTTCAATGAATTTAGCCTCATACTCGACTACAGACATGTTGCCTTGCTTAAGTTCTTGGAATCCAGAAACTGTTCGGCCTCGAAAGCACTGAGGAAAGTACTTGTCATAGAAGATCTCATTGAATTGAGCCTATGTCATGTTTCCATTACTATTTTGGATCAACAACCATTATCTTCGAGCTTCATCTTTTAGAGTATAGGTGGCCAAGAAAACCTTCTGAATCTCGGAACAGGGAAATACTTCAAATAATTTTTCCATCTTAAGTAACCATGTCTCTGCTTTAATGATTCAACACTTCCCAAGAAAGTCGGCAGTTTCATCTTCATGAACTTCTAGGTTAGATTTATGATGTCATTGTTATCCGGTTCAGCTTGGATCGGATGAGGCAGAGGTTGTTGTCTTTGTTGCTGTCTCATAGATTCAGTTAGGGCTTCGAGCATTTGTTCCATTCGGCTCATGTGAGCCTCTAAGGATTCAGCTGCATAGTCACTTCTTGTGTTTTCCATTTGCTATTGGTGAACAGAACACTTATAAACATAGGCAAATAGTTCTTTTCATAATGTTCAGAGCATTCAGTTCCAGTTCATTCGTGTCGATTTCATGTATTCATGTCCATATTCAGTTTTCACATCTACAAAAATAAATACACACTCACACATACAGATGAAATGTCCCTAATTCTTTTCTAGGACATCTTATAGCTCATATGGACTTGTGTGTGCGGTATAACTCGTGCTCTGATACCACTCTGTCACGACCCAAACCAGCCCCTATAGGTTTAGCGTCCTAACCGGCCAATAATCCTTGGATTACCAAAGGCCTCTGAACAGTTTATCACATATTAATGGGCTGCAGAAGTAAATATATAAAACATACATAGTCCATTGAGCTGTGTTGACGTACATGGGACAGAATTTTCAAAAACTTATGTGTACATGTGACGTCATAGATATAGTAGTCTTACATAACCCATTTACACAAACAAAGTCAAAAGGGGACTTAGCCTAAAGTACAGATAAACATAAAACTTGTTCATATACTGAAAGAAAAAAAAAAGTCTTACACATTCACAAAATAGGACCATATGACTTTCGGAACATCCTTGGGAGGCACAAGGGCTGGCCGACAAAACAAGCTCCAAGCGATCATCATTGAGCCTGGTCACGCACCTAATCACTTATATACATAATATAAATAGTGAGCGGAAGCCTAGTGAATAATAACAGAGTAAAGTGTTTTAATTGAATGATGTCCCATATCAGATTTGGAAATCAGAGTTCATATCAGAAATAAATTCATAGTCATATATAGAAATCAGAGTTCGTGCATAATCATACGTGGTACATCCATTATCATTAATAGAATAGATACAAACAGATACAGACAAATACAAAATAGATGGTGGTTATGTATAACCAGTTCCATAAAGGAACCTCCGGATCTAGGCAACAGATAACAGATATGCTGAGCTCCATAATTGACCCTCCGATACGGGTAATAGATAATAGACATATTAAGTTCCATGATAGAACCTCCGATACCGGATAATAGCTAGCATATATCATATGATACTAAGGATGCCACGAATACATTGTCAAAATTGGACAATCATTCATTGTCCAAAACTTATCATTTCTGAAAACAGATCTTAATTCAACATATAGAAAATAAATAAAGTTGAACATAACTTTACTAAGTTATTACTCACAAATGGCTCTGAAAGCAGACAGACAGAACAGACAAATCAGATAGCTTACTGTGCGTGACCTACACAAACATAATAGATACACAGATTGAAACACCCACTCGCATAATACCTAACTTCTTGTGTTTCGCTCTTAGTGTGCTTCTACATCTCATCCTCATTATTATATCTTATTCGTGGCCTAGGAAAGACTAGGATGCAATGGGGATGCCAAAATGAGTTTCAAAACACTTAGTCATTTTTGCTGAAAATAGAGTCCTTGCTCGAGCGCAACTTCTTTCGCTCGAGCAGAGGGTCAAAAATAAAGGTGGTCGCTTGAGTGCAACTTCTTTCGCTTGAGCGATCTATAAATTCTGCAAAAGTACTGGTTGTGTGATTTTTCTGCTTGATGGTCGCTCGAGCGTGAGATTGAGGTCTTTGCTCGAGCGTAACTCTTGTCGCTCGAGCAATCTACAAAATGTGTAAACTTCTAGGAGCATGCATTTTACGCTCGGGCCAACTTTTGGTCGCTCGAGCGAAAGTGCCAAATCAGGAGTGGTCGCTCGAGCGTAGGTTTTGTCGCTTGAGTGGAGAGGCAGAATTCTGGAATTTCCAGATTGATGTTCTAAGTCCAAAACTCAAATTCAAGAACTTTAACCTTCAAAAACATGTACAAATGGAGTGTTAAAGTTCAAAACCACAATGAGCTCTTATAATTGAACAAAAATAGGTCCTTGCATATGAGAATTTGTTGAAATCAAAACTCAAAATCCATGAATTGCCTATGCATGTATGAAATGTTCATCTTTTCTACTTTACTAGCTCATTTCTTGCGTAATTAAACTTAATCCCCTAAAATTCATGTTCTAAATATCATAATTATATAATCTAAGTGTTAAATCCTTACCTCAACTTCTCAATTAAGCTCTAGTTGGTGAATTCACTAAGGCTCCAAACCAACTCCCTTGAATTTTCTAGCAATTTCTTCCAAGCTCAAGTTTTGATGTCAACCCTTTTGGTCTCCTCTTCCTCTCTCTTTAACGTTTTGTTTCTTGAAGGCACAAAGAAGATGAAGAAACAATGACTTAAGTGGTGTGTATAGGCCTTCTATAGGCTTGCTTAGGGAATTAATTAAACTTAACTTAAGCTAAGCAAATTGACATTAATTATTCTAATTTAATTCGGTCCGAATCGAATTTCAATCAACCCTACCATAAAATTCTAAAAATTCCAAATAACACATAAACCAAGTCAATTTATGGATTGGACGCCAATAAGGCCTTCAATTTATAGAACAAAACAGAAACACAAACAAATATTCCTATAGAAGATAGATATAAACACAAATAATGTCATACGCATGTAATTAATTCAGAATTTCAGCCTAATTACTCATTAGACATAATTAATCATGGTTTATTGGTTAATCATAGGTCGGGGTTGTTACAGAGTGAATGGTGAAACTCTCAGAGTACTTCCTCTCAACAAGACTCTGGCACAAAAAGACAATCACAGTATCTGACACTTGAATCGGGATACACATTCAGGGCTTTCTCCACATTCCCATTAGTGATTTTCTCTTGGAGGGTTTCTATCTCGAGATCACTCTTCTGCGCTTTTATCACTCGATTCACAAGTGTAGGTTGTGCAACTACCAAAAACAAGATTGTAGACTCAATGGACTCGCCAAGATGCAAGTCAAACTTACCAATAGCACCCAGCACCTCCCATTCCCTGATGGCAACACAAGCTACATTGCTAATAGATTTCCTACTAAAGGCATCAACCACAACATTTGCTTTCCCCGGATGATCATGTAACTCAAAATCATAATCTTCTATAAACTCCAACCACCTACTCTGCCTCAGATTTAAGTCTTTCTATGTAAACAGATATTTCAGACTCTTGTGATTAGAAAACACTTCAAACTTCTCACCATACAGGTAATGCCTCCAAATTTTGAAGGCACAAATTACCGCCGCTAACTGTAGGACATGAGTGGGGTAGTTTCTCCCATGAGTTTTCAACTGCCGTGAGCCATAAGCTACTACCTTCCCCTCTTGTATTAATACGCAGTCCAAACCTTCCCTTGAAGCATTACAATACACCAAATAGCCTAAACCCCTCTCCAGAATAATCAATACTTGAGCGGTAGTAAGCCTGACCTTAAGCTCTTGAAAAGACTTCTCACAAGTCTCGTTCCACATGAACTTAATGCCTTTCCTCATCAGTCTAGTTAATCGTGAAGCTAATCTAGAGAAATCTTTTACCAACCAACGGTTATACCCTGCTAACCCCAAGAAACTACGAATCTCAAAATCTTTCTTAGGTTGTCCCCAATCTTGCATTTCCTAAATCTTGGATGAATCTACAGTCACCCTTTTCTTGGATACCACATGGCCTAAGAACTTTACTTCTCTCAACCAGAAATCACACTTCTTGAACTTAGCATATAGTTTGTGGTCTGTAAGTAGCTCAAGCACTACCCGTAAGTACTCCTCGTGCTCCTCCTCGGAGGGTGAGTAAATCAAGATGTCGTCCGTAAAGAGACGATCTAAGAATTCACGGAAGATCCGATTCATCAAATCCATAAACATGGGTGGAGCATTGGTTAGCCCAAAAGGCATCACTAAGAACTCATAATGGCCGTACCGTATATGGAATGCCATTTTCTTGATATCTTCCTCCTTTACCCTCAACTGGTGATAACTCAATCTCAGGTCTATCTTGGAAAAACAACAAGACCCCTTCAACTGGTTAAACAAATCATCTATACGTGGCATTAGGTACTTGTTCTTGACAGTTACCCGATTCAACTTCCGGTAATCGATGCAAAATCGCAACGCACCATCTTTCTTTTTAGCAAAGAGAGTCAGTGCTCCCCAAGGTGAAGTACTTGGGTGGATAAAATCTTATCTAGCAGCTCTTAGACTTGAATCTTCAACTCACTCAACTCGGTGGGTTCAAATCTATATGGAGCCATAAAAATTAGTGCCATGCCAGGCACTATGTCAATAGAGAACTCGATCTCTCGGTGAGGTGGTAAGCTAGTAAGATCCTTAGGAAACACGTCCGGGTATTCACAAACTACCCTTAGCAACTCAACTCGGACTTCATCGCACTTATTACCCAAGACATTTGCAAGAAGGCAACTAAGCTCACTCCCTCCATATGCATCATACATTGGGGATAAAGCTCTATCAGTTTTGTCTCCTATAAAATAAAAACAATCACCGTTCAAGATACATACAATAATCCTTTAACAATAACAATTTATAACAACCCAATATGAAGATAACCAGTCTATACCCAATACAGAATCAAAACTCGACATGCCAATCAATACAAAAGAAAAAGGAAGTCGGCGACCAGCAACCTCTATATCACGACCCCGACACCCCTGCTTCAAAACAATCTCTCCACCAACAGGTGACTCTACACTAAGAGGAGATGCTAACCAAGCCAACTCTAACCCCAAAGCCAATGCAAATACAGACGAGATAATTGAATGGGATGAGCCTGTATCAATCAACACATTAGCAATGGAATTGCATAACAGGAAAGTATCTCTCACCATCGAAGGCGCTAGTACTAGGTCTGGTGCTGTAACAGTATACACACGCCCTGTGGGTCTCTGCTCAACCTGCTCATCCCTCGGAGCATAAGCTTGAAGCATTGACTGAGCCAAAGAGGCTCCTTGATTTGCCCTCAAGGCCTGAACTGACTGTGCACGCTGGTGGCTCTAAGTCTACCTTGAACTAGACGCACCAGGTGTGCCACTCAATTGAGGGCAAAACTTTTTCAAGTGCCTTGCCTGCTCACACTGATAACAAGTGAGCGGCTGCTCTTTTCCCTAACTTTGGTTCTGAGAGTGAGCCGAAAATGAACCAGACCGTTGCCCTCTTCCTCTCTACGGGCAAGCTAGAGACTTGTGGCCCAACTGACCATACTTGAAACAATTGACATCTCCTTGACTACCTCTTCCAAAACCCGAACTTGGCACTGGAAAAGTGGACCTCGATTGCGCTCCCTAGGACTACTGTAGGGTAGAACCCCACTGCCTCTTACTGTCCCCTTGAACATCTTGACCCCTCTTGGAGCCCTTCATTTGCTCCTTCTCCATCTACATCATGGTCTCAAGATGACCTGTTGCCTCCATAAAGCATCCATAATCCCTAATCATTGAATTGGCCACCTTAAACATGAGCCCGGTCTTCAACCTCGAACTCTAAGCAATGGCGTTCCTTAGGTGCCACGAGTTTTGGTGCAAACCTCGACAAGCTAGTAAATACAGCCTCAAACTTGGCCACCGGTGTGCTCAACTGCTTAAGCTTAGAAAAGCGATGTCACACCCCAAACCCGCCCCTAAAAGTTTGGGCATGACCTATTCAGAAACGGACACTAAGTCTGATATACATATCATATGGGGCCTGAACAAAAGCATTTAATATTATAAAATAACGCCGAATAACATCCATTGAGCTAATTCTATCATGCCAGGATCACATACTTGAGAGCCATTTAACTATATGTATACGCACACGTACTCAGCCCCTTCACTGAACGTATAACCAAACATTGGTAAAGAAAGGGGTCATATACATACATTTTAACTTTAGGTAAACAATTAAAGTGCAAGCCAAAATCTTAACAAGCTTCACAGAAATGCATGGGCTTGGTCTGGGTGCCTGGACACACTGAGGTTGATAACTGAAAGGCGAGCATCAAGGGTTAAGACGGACTTCCAAAGTGATTACCTACAGAACAAACATAACACAAAGTGAGCGAAGCTCAGTGAATAATAGTACATAAACAATTTAATGCTCATCTTGAATTATAATACATATCAATGCCTATATAAATAAAGAGGGCATATGGCTAATTTGATTCTGCATTAATCCCAGAACGGCCTTAGGGCCGGTCTTTAAACATAATGGCTTTAAGCCCTTGAACGGAGTGGCATTAAGCCCTTGCACAGAACGACATGAAGCCCTTAACAGAACGGCATAGAGCCCTTCACAGAAATACAAAACGGCATGGAGCCCTTAACAGAATGGCATGAAAGCCCTTATCATATATGTATGGATTCAAGAGGTGGCTCGCACGGATTCTAGAGGTGACTCGCATCGCAGCACTTAGTTCCGTACAGCACTTTGTTCCATACCAGAAATCATTAGGTCTTAAAGACCGATCGATTCATATCATGTCATAAAATAGCATAAATGAAATGGATAAACAGAAATAAATTCATACGTATTCTTAATTATTCTTGAATCATAATAGAAATCAGAGTTCATGCTTAATTATTCATGGTACATCCAATAACGCTAACAAATCAATATAGAGCATGCTTGTTAGTTCCATAACGGAACCTTCGGCACTGGGAACTTGTAACATACTTGAACCACGGTATTATTACCCCCGGGCAAGGGCCTTGAGCTAAGGATGCCATGAGTACTTTTATATTTGTGAACAATCATTCATTAATTCAAAATGTAACATATCAGAAAATAAGGCATCTCTTGTCATATCATGTCATTACAGTACGCTTAACAAAGACAGAAAAATTCACATTCTAACGTGGGTCACATAATGATGTTAAACCTTTGCATTCATGTCGTAGATTCCGAACTACCTGGGGTCCATACGTAATACAACAGAATAATCTTGGATTCACACAGATACCATTGTTCAAGGATGAACATAAGTTCCATTTATTCTTTAAGAAGTAACGTAGTATGCTGATAATTAACAGAGGGTTAATATTCGTTATTGACAGAACAAAATGATTCCGAAGTCATACCGATGTACGCAAATCTTTCAACGTTCATATAAGTTCACATTGATTTCCAATCGTCATAAATGTTCGTGTAACACTTATGAAGAACAGGGCGTTAGTGACAATAATTATCATTGGTAAGTAAAATGTACATTTCCGTACTATTACTCACAGTGGTAGATCTCTGATAGCGGTGGAACGATGTCCTCGTCCTGACCTACAAACACAATGCACATAACAGATTATGAGAATAAAACCAATCTATTTTTATTCCTTACTCAATAGCTATGGTGGTTCTAGACTCATTAGTCCTCCATAGGTTATAATCCATGCCTCATAAGATAGAAGGAATCGATAGGAGAAAGATTCAAACGAAGAAACGGTACAAACCTAGTAAATAGAAAGTGAACAGTCGTCACTAATTTGGGAATAACTATTTCTATACTTAGAATTTGGGAGTGAAACCACCACCATTGAAAACTAGACTTCCGGGGCTTGATTTTAGGCTCAAGAATCACTCAAAACGGAGTCCGGATGCAAACGATATGCTTGTTCAAAGTTACCCAGTATATGCTGAAACAGGGATGGCCGCTCGTGCACCCACTTTGGCCGCTCGAGCGGAAGAACCCGGAAACTTGAGCGCCCAAAAGTAGAATGAAAACCTCCTTTTTTTCTTCAAGTCCACTCGTGCGGTGCCCGTGGCCGCTCGTGCGGTATGGGCAAAAAACATCAGTCTGAAAAAGGTTTTTGCTCCAACACTTGATCTATCCAATTCTTAAGCTTGATTTCAAGTCTAATTACTCAAAAACATGTAAAATTGACCCACAAGGTGATAAACTATTGTAGACACCCCATTTTTGACCGACCTTAAGACTCAAACATCACCAATTGAGCGCTTGGTGATGCCGCATATCGTGCTCGTTCAGAAGTCTCAGAGTCGCGGCCGTGAGCCCTGCCACCGGATTTCCGAACCCTCTTCTGTGCCTTACCTCGGTTTGCGAACCAGACTCGGTTTTCTCTATTTATTTTCCTGAGGGGAGGGAGAGGTACCGTAGACCATCTCTCAGTGGCCGTGGGCTACATTTTGTGGCTGTAGGCCATTTTGCCCATTTCGGAGCCTGGTTTCCGGTTTTTCGGGACCGTTGGCCGTGTGCCTCGGTTCGGGACCGCCTAACCATCTCCATTTGCCCCGGTTTTTGGCATACTTCTTATTTACTCCCTTTTGAGGGACACTGAGGTCTGAGAGACCCACTTCGTGGTCGAATGCCACTTTCGGTGCCATCTCCTATTGCTCCGATTTTTGGCATACTTCTTATTTGCTCCCTTTTGAGGGACACTGAGGTCTGAGAGACCCACTTCGTGGCCGAATGCCACTTTCGGTGCTTAACAGGCAATTTTCGGGGCCCCGAACTGCGTGTTCTGGCCCCCGAACATTCATTTTGCATCGGTTTTTGCTCATTTTTGGCAGGTACCTCTGTTTCATCACCAGGAAGGCCGTAGAAGGGTGGGAGGCTAGCAATTGTTTCAGCAACTAGTTATATTCCTCCGGCGCCCTCCGACGCCCGTTTTTCTCACTTCCGAGCCAATGTTGAACAACCTTGGGCCATTTTCTTGGACTTGTAACCACATATTTGTGTTGTACACACATGGGAGGACACCAAAAGTTGGTGGCCGGCCAGTAATTCCAACTGACCCTTTTGACCCCCCCTAAAAATGGCTTGTTCTCTCTTCTGTTTTACAATTGACAATTTTGAACCACAGGGTTGTGTTGAGGGCACCTGGGAGGACACCTATCTGTGGTGGCCGGCCACTAAATCTTCTTGACCCTTTTGACCCTTGGCCGGCCGGCCATGGGAGGTAGCCGGCCGGCCACCTGCAGCTCTGAAAGTTGGTCGGCCATGATCCTTGCAATGTGTATGTTCCAGCTGTATATCTGTTTTCCCCCCAAAAAACCTATATCCGGGGGACAACTTTTGGGGGGAAACTTGATCCATTTCCCCCCCACTTTTTCCCTCCATTTCTCCCCCATTTTTGTCTACATAACAAGTTCTACCACCTTTTCTTCATCACCACCTAGCATCACCACCACCACTCCATTTCCAGAAACTTGGGGAGCTTTCCAGCAGCTAGGAGGCATCACTTCTCAAGCCAAGAAGCAACCAAAGACTTGTCTTCAAGGGTGAGTAGTATTTCCCCTCTTTTGAGCTTATTTTTGTGTCATTTATAAGCCATACATGCTTGCTGTTTTGAGCTCCGGCCCTAACTGAAAGTGGCACTCTTTTGAGCTCTTTTTCACTTTTGAAGAAGGGCCTCTCACTGTTTGAGGCCCTCTTGATTCACTTTCTTAATTATCCCTCTTGAATGCCATTTTCTTGCATGATATTTTTAGCTTGTGTGTGATCTGTTTTGGAGCCTGATATAAATTGTAGATAGGCTTATTTTGAGCCCCTCTTCAACATTGAAGAAGGGCTCATCACTTTTTGAGACCTCCATGTACCACTTGTCATTATACCTCTCTTTGGTCCCCTTTTTTGGCATGATTTGTTAGCCTATTGTGCTTCCATTTTTGGACGATTTTCAGAACTTAAAACAGTCTTATTTTGGCCTCCTCTTCATGTTTCATTGAGGGTATTTCACTGTTTGAGACATCCTTTATATACTTTGTTTTTATATCTCTCTTTTTTGGCCATATTTTGCATGATATTTTTGGCTTGTATGCATGCGGTTTTGGGTCCGGCCATCAACTATAAAATGCATTATTTTTGGTCCCTCTTCAGTGTTGTAGAAGAGTCTTTCACTTTTTGGGCTTTGCATCTACCACTTGCTCTTTTGGCCATCTTTTGGCCCATTTCTTGCATGAGGGTTTAGCCATATCTGTGCTGGTTTTTGTGGTTTTC